TGAAAAAAGAGAAATTAAATTAAATTATCAATTATGAAAAAAAAAACCTTAAATAAAATTTTTATTCAAAAGATATCTTAGATATCCAGATAATTTAGGATATCCGGTTAATATCTTGGATATCTAGATATTATTCGGATAAATTATCTGGATATCCAGATTGAAACAGATACAAGTTAATCGGATATCCGGATAAATGGATATAAACTCTAGTTCATATCATCATCGTAGTCTCCACCACTGGTAAGTGTCTCCAATATTTACCTTGAACAAGAAACTTTGATCTTTTTTATTGACTAGCTTGTTTCTATATTTTTAGATTATCCAAATAAAAGACCATAGCTTGATTTTAATAGCATTCCTTTAGATTTAGAACGGCCTCCTTTACCACTTTTAAACACTGATGGACTTTCTTGGGATTATCAAAAATCGCCTAAGTTGGAAGAAGAATTAAGAGTGCATGTTCAGAATCTATATAGTATGTTTAAAGAAAATAAACAGGATAAATCAAATACACCAATATTTTTTATAATGTCTGGTGCTGGATGTGGGAAATCTCAAAATGCAACAGAGATTCCTAAAATACTCCGCAGAATATTTGTAAATGATCCAGAGCTGGAATCTCATTTGCAAGAAGCACTCATATTCAACATCCCCTTAGAAAATGATACAAGAATCAACACGTCTAACAAATTCGATGCAAATGTTGCAATTGCTAAACGAATGCTATACCAGTTTCAGAATCAAGGCCTTTACTGGACCCAAATTCATGATGATATGCAGACCCTTTCAATTATTGATATTCTTATGAGCTGTGCTAAACAAAAAAATGTACTACTAAAGGAACTGACTGTGATCCTCATTATCGATGGATTGTAAACTGCTTTAATTAATCAAGATGATGGCATGAACAAGAAATCATTATTCTATTCTTTCATGACAGAGATATCCATTCATGCCACAAATAGAGATTTACCCTTTATTATTGCATGTTGCATAGCAATTTTAGCACGTCCATTCAATAAAATGGTCACAGTTTCTCATCAACAGCGAACTTTTCTTCCAATTTGTTCTTTAGATCCTCCAAAAAGAGAGGTAAAGCTAATTTTTGAAGATACACCACTTCTCAGGATGTTAATAAATGATATGAGTGAAAATGGCAGAGCGTTTAAAGCACTTGAATCAGCTTTAATAGATGTAGATATCGAAAATGACAGCTTTGTTTCAATTGCGGAAAAAGTATGTAATAAACTTGAGGATTGTTATAATGAATGGATTAACAAAACTCATTATCTAACACCTGTTCTTCGAGTTATTCTGACACATACCACTTTGATAGCATCAGTTCCCATTCTTGGCACAAATATTTTACCGAAGGAACTCTCAAAACTAGGGCTGATCAAATTTTAAAAACAAAATGAATTTAGCAGTGAAGGAACTTTAACATGTCCATATATCTGATTGTGGCTAATGGCAAATGCATCAAAAAGTGATAGTATTCTACGTAATTGGAATTTTAAGTATTATAAAGAATTACAGACTGATGGGACCTAACCATTCCTTCTGGTTGTCAATTTTGGCAACATTTCGAACATTTCATTGCTTCTTATCGTGTCCTTAAATTAAATGTATTTGAAATTGATAAAGAAATAAAATTACAAGATATTCATGCTGGTGTAAAGCATAACTTTGGCACAGCTACCATTAAGGACATACCATTATTATTAGCGAAAGCTACCTGGCAACAAAGTACCAAATCAAGTGTTTATTCTGCCAATAAAATGGTAACTTGCAAGAGAGGCGATGATCAAATTAATCTTAATCTTGAAGATGCATCTGCCTGCATAATCAATGGATTGAGTGCATCTGCTGGTGATTCATTTTGCCCAATTTATTTTGCAAATACTCCTCAACTTCATATAGAAAGCCATCAATGCAAGTGCCTAAAGTCAACAACGGTGAACCAAACAACGTTTAATGAAGAGCGTAAAAAAGCATGTGATAAGGATGATATTTTTATACTTTACACTTGTTGGCATTCCAATGTAGAAAGTTTGCCACCATTGTCCGCTATTGTTGATCGTGATCGTTGGAAGTTGTATTTTGGTCCCTTTGTAGGAAAGACATTTCTTCTAGCGGAAAATGATAAATTCAACGCCAACGACTGCAAAAAATCAGAATTGACATCAATCTTTGGGATAGGCCCTAAACGTGCTGATCTTTTGGAGTCTATGAGATCATATGACAATCTAGAAGATTGCATTAAGAAAACTGGAATTTCCTGTAATTTCTTGATTAATTTCCGATTCGATCTGACTGAATCGACTTAAAAATTATGTGATGAAAATTTGATAACAATAGGAAAAGATTATATTTCGATAGATAACAAAGAAAAACCAATATTTGCTAAATCTTTAGTTTTCAAAATTATAGCTTTATGTTGATCACACCTCAAAATTTATTAATAAAATATATCTTAAAATTTTTATGCTAATTTACGATACAACTTATAACATAAATGATATGTCATCTTTTTATTTTCTGATGCATACAGGAAAATTTTATTGGTAATATCAACGTCATATTATTTCACATTATTTCTAAAGAGAACTTTCCCAAGAAGAAATAGTTTCAGGTCTATTGCATTGTTCTGAAGCAAAAATTTCACTAACCATGACTCTTTTTTATATAATTCACAAGTGTTGATTTTGAAGAATTATGATAATGTCATGCTATCCCGTATATAAAGATTAAAACTTTAAGCAGGAACAATGATTTTCTGCGGTGACAAAATGCTGATTCCGTCCGTGCTAAAAATAAATTCTGCAAACTGCTGTGCATTAACATT